TTATACACAAGTGCCAAAATACTATAATTATGACAATATGTCTTTAAAAGGGCTTGAAATTGTTTAAAATTCAGGTAAGTCACAATTGTATGAATAGTATATAAAAATCTATTTGAACTTATTAATCCAACTAAGGCATGAAAACAATGTTATAAAACATGAATTAAATCATCATTTTTAATACAAAGGATCTCACCTGACTCAAAACAGCTTTAATTCAAAGCTTATAATGTTTTTTTATACCTTAGTCTGATACATTTGTGCATGAAGAAGTCTGTGTATTTACATATATGAACTTACTAGTATTTTAAAGGCCCTTAAAAATGAGCATTTCTGTTACTTAATCAACAAAATGTCATGTTGAAGACTAATTTAAGGCTATAAAATGTAGTTGTTTGCAGCAAAGTAATTCAAGTTGTATTAATAAACTGATTTGGATCTTTCATATATGAGCACCAGACAGTTTTAAATATGTGTGTATGCATTTTTTTACTGGTGATTCAAACAAATTACAACATTAAAACTACCAGAAATACTACTACTGAAATTATCATATGGCTATACAATAGGCTTACTGCTTACAATAAATCTATGTTAAAATAAGTGGTTGGTTTTACTAGTAGTTATAGATATATAATGCTGAATAAATATACAACCCCAACGGGTGCAGTCAACCATACAAGTTTACGCTGCCTAAACTACTAATGAAAGACGACTTGAGAACCTGTTGAAGCTGTATTTTGGTCTTTTCATGTTCCTTCAGTTTGATCTTGTCTTCAGAGCGTTTCAGTTTCAAAGTTTCTAGTTTCTCTTGCAAGTCTTTAACTTCACTTTTTAAATCACCTATTTCTTGATCCTTATGAAGAAGTTGTATTTTATCTTCTACTGAAGTGGCTGCTCCTCGCATATCCACAACAGTCGCAGTGACAGACTTTGAACTCTCCACCTAGGATAATTTAATGGAAGAAAAAATTAACTTTGATACTGATATTTAGGCCTAATTATTTTCTCAAATGTTTATCAAAACACTTGTTAAGCCTATCCCCACACAAGAGATCTATGCCACTCATAGTTTGTTTGATTCTGTTATAAATAAAAGTAGCAAACAGATATAACAACCAAAATATAAGTTAACTTGTTAATAATAGGATAAAAATGCTTAATCTCAAATACTATCACTATGGTCCATTAAAGCTTCATGTATACATTTCCCTGGACTACCCATAGTTCCCTTTGTAATTAAATGCAGAAAAGAACTGTTTCATGTTTTTAGGCCTACAGACAAAGAAGGTGAACATTTTCTTCTATACTACTCCAATCACTACATTTTTTTACTTATAATTCCACTTTTCAAGCATACTTCAGTGAATTATTAAATCACATTGGCCACAAGAAAAGCTTCATAGAACTTTCTGTTACTAGTTGGTTTAGAAAAACTGATAAGAAAAACTGAGCCCCCAGTGGAGTATCTAGGATGAACTGAACCCAGATGGGGTGGCCAAATGAGCTTAGAACAACACATTCTAATTCATTACATGTTGCCACAAGTTTTGATATTCCCAATTTTCACGTGCTTTGCAATTATTTGATTTTCTGTACATTCAACAGCATGAAGTAACATTAGTTTATGAATATTACTGGATAACAAAAGAACCATGTTAATCTGAAGATATCAGTTTATAAATATTACTAGATAACAAAAGGACCATGTTAACCTGAAGTTATTAGTTTATGAATAATAGTAGATAACAAAAGGACCATGATAATCTGAAGTTATTAGTTTATGAATAATACTAGATAACAAAAGGACCATGTTAACCTGAAGTTATATTAGTTTATGAATATTACTAGGTAACAAAAGGACCATGATAATCTAAAGTTATTAGTTTATGAATATTAGTAGATAACAAAGAACCATGTTAGTCTGAAGTTATAGTAACTTATGAATATTACTAGATAACAAAGAATGAGAAACATATATGTGAACATTAATTATATTCTAAATAATAACAGATAAGAAAAGGAAAGCAAATAATAATAATCACACAATAGCCTCAATATTATATTCAGGATATTATTAACAACCTTG